TTCCTGCTCTTGTGCAAGTTGCTGCTAGCCCAGGCTCCCTCTGTCCCTGCTTGAGAGCCACCGCGTTCATCATAGACCCACTGAGCAGGGAGGAGATTGCAGGGAGGAGATTGCAGCAAAGCCCCCAGATTTTAGTTCTTCCCTTTATGGCCAGTTCTAAAGCTGAGGGAAAGGGTCCTAGAGGGCTGCAGAAGTGGAAATCCTGTGCAATGGCCTGATCCCCCCAGCTGCCTGTGGCCCAGGGTCCCTGCCTATCCCTGGTACCCCACAAGAATGTCAGGGACTTCAGCCCAGAAGGCAGAAGATGGGCAAACATCACGGTGGTTATGCCAGCTGGATGGGGGCTATGGGTGCGACCTCTGCTATGGGGCCAGCACAGCAACGGCGAGGAGGCAAAGCCCTTCGCCAGGATCCTTCAGCCACCAGCCCCTGTTTCCTTCCCTAGGCTTTGTCCTCTGGCTCCGGGATCTGGACACAAGTGATGAAGTAGGTGTGGAGCTGGAAGAAGCTGAGCTGGCGTTCTGATAGACTAAACACACCGTGCAAAGTGGGTTTTGACATTCGAGAGAGGCCAAGCTGGCATGGAACTTTCCATTACAGTGCTTTGTTTTGCTGAAGGAAAATGTGACTTCTGTGCAATCAAAAACTTCCAGAGGAGAGAGATCAGCTTCTCTTTTTATCTTCAGAAACACCTGACTGGAATATTTTGAGTCAGATGCAACGATTTCTGTTGAAACGATCACCTTGGGACAGCACAGCCCCACAGTCGGCTCCCTCCGAAATCATTCTGCTCTCACAAATATTGCTATGAAGATACTCGTGTCTTCAGGGAGGGGTTTGGTGACATCTCTTTACAGGGAGAAGGGTGTCTGAGGAGCCCGTGACCAGCTCTGCTTGCATGAAATATGGGCCAGGCATCCCACGTCCCCCTCCCTTCCGCTCTCGGCCACCCTCGCGTCATTTGTGAGTCCTGCGAAGGGAAGGCACGCAAAAGCTATGGCTCTGCGAAGCGGCTGAACAAACCTGGATAACACGGGGGGCCGAGGCTCACACAAGCACTACCCGCTGTAAAGCAGGGTTGGCTTTGTCACGTGCTGCCGGCTGCAGCCCAGGGCGGGGAAAGCAAATTCATGGCACAAAACCTGGGGGAGACACCTGCGGCAGAGGCCGACTGTCGTGGTCCCTACTTGCGAATCAATCCCTGCTCAGCAGCACAAAAGTCATCTTTGCAAATCACTCACTTGCTTTTCTTCTTCCTACCAAGAATGTTTTGGCTTGCTCAAAAAAGGCTTTGATCTCCCGGTCATAGAGTCTGCTGAGGTTCTGGGCATAGACCTGGAAAGAGAAGACAGGCACAGAAAGTCCTGGTGTAGCTCGTCTCACTGCGAACAGTGCCCGCTTCACAGCTTTTTCTTCAGCTGCCCACTTAAAGCAGAAGTCAGGGGATGGCAGCTGAAACAGACCTATTGGTTTTGGCATGTAAGAGCTTTGGAAAGGCAAAAACCAGCATGGAAAATAGAAACCACGCCTCAGTGATGTAAAAAGAACCATCTCCATTATTTAACGACATCCCTATTAACAAAAGAGGCCAAGGACTTTAGGAGGCCCCTTCCCTAGAACCCTTTAAATAAAGCAGCATTGAATAAAATACAAGATTCACCACTTTTATTTAATGCTTATCACTCTCATCCAGTAGAGAAACGGCCCGATGAAAACAAAAAGACCAAATTTTAGCATTTCAGACTTTTTCCTTCAACACAAGGTCTGCCACCAAGTCCCAGACTGCCTTCTGTTAAGCAGAGAGGTCCAACATGATGTGGCCAAGTTGGCCAGGCACTCTCCAAGAAGGGCCAAACGCTGGAAGCTCACGGGTGGCATGGGTTTGGTGAAACCAAGCTCTCAGCACGAACTAAGCGGCTTGGCTAATCTGTTCCCAGTGGATGGTTTGCAATATTTGTTCAGGATTTCAGCCGTACCTTGGGGAGATCGCAGAATAGAATTGGGTTGGCGTTCCTCAGCCAGGCCATGAGCGGGGTGTAGGGCAGCAGCTCCTCGTGGTGGTCTCCATGGCTTGGTGCAGACAGCTTCTCAGTGGGCTGGCCAAGAGCAGGGACCTGAGCATTACCCTAAAGCAACGGAAATGGCAGAAAGAGTCAAATAAAAGATAGCCTTGAAAAGCTCTGGAAAAGAATTGGTTCATAATTGCCTTTGAGTTTCCCATTCTGAATACGTTTGAGAAGCACATTTAAAGGGTGATGCAGAGCACGCGTGATCACTTTGAACTCTGGCTTTAATCCCGCATCGTGTGAACGATTCTGAGCCCAGAGGAATGAGCTGGCCCATCCGCAATATGTGGGATACTCCAGCGGAAGACACAGGAGAAAAGCTCGTCGTTCGGGAGCATGCTGGAAGCTGTCCCTCCGAGCGCGCGGAGGTGGGTACACCTCGGGGGGGGATGCGATGGAGGGGAAGGATGCCGCGCCGTTGATGCAGCCCACCTGGGCCCGGTGGTGCTGGGACATCGCACCCAAAGGCTCAGAGTCATGGAGGCGGGATGGGAGCTCGGTGGGTTTGGAGCAGGTCCCAGTAGAGCAGCTTGCTCGGGGATGTGCCCAGTCGAAGTCTGAAAATCTCCAAGGATGGAGATCCCGCAGTTCCCTCCCAGTTCCCTGCCAGTCACGTCCCTTCCCAGGGCCAATGCTTGAAAGTAAATCCTAAAGATTTAAGGATCTAATGCCAAGGATTTGGCAGTAGCTCCTTTTTTCTTTGTGAAAGGAAATTGGGAAGAGTAACATTTTCCTTTCAGCTTTCTCCCCACAGAGGCATTTCCACCATGTCTTTTAAACTGCAAGATGAATGCTTAAAAATGTCAATCAAAGGATCAAGGGCTTGGCTTTTATCCCGGGATTTTGTCTTACAAACAGACGAACAACCACCACCACTCCCCAAGTAAAACAAGAAAACCTAAAGCAAAAATTTTTAGGCCTAAGCACTTTTTAGAATCCCCCTGCGGTGGCTGAGACTGTTTTAGCTGTGCTGCTGGCACTATTTTACCCGAATATTCAAATCCCCCAGGATTTTGAGCTGCCAGACGAAGAGCGAAGCCCACCTGCCGCTCGAAGATGCTCGTAACGTGAGTGATGAAAGAGTTTTCAAAGTTCTGCTTGAGCGTTTCAAACACGATCAGCTGCTCAGCCACAGCCTGCAGCTTCCGGTAACCTTGAGGGAAAACAAAAAAAAAGAGAGGGTATTGGGCTATGGAGCGGCACGAGCCGTCGTGGCTGCAGACCGGCACCGCTCAGCACGCTGGCAAATGAAACAGCTCTTCAAGGAGTAAGTTCTGGGGTAAATGCTACCACCCAAAGGGCCACCAAAGGGGAAAAGATTTGCTGTGGTGCCAAGCAAATACAGAGAGGGAGGGCGTTTCAATCTTTAAAGATACAAATTGCAAAGCATCCATCAGTACGACCACGATCAGGGACAAACGGCCAGGAAAGCATGGGGTTTCGTGCCAGGATCAAGCCCCTGTAGACCAGCAGGTCCCCAGCACCGCCCACAGTGGGTGCTGCCACAACAAATTATCGTTTTCCCGTGCTCCAGTACAGACAACTGGGCTGCCCCATCAGACCACACTTTCTAAACCCCTCTTTCCACCAGTTCCTTTCTGAACTGGAAGAGGTGCTGCACACCGGTGGCAGGCAGCGATGCCTTGTGCCCACAGATTTAGAGGAATTGTATAGATGCTTGCCATAAGTTTGCCAGGACTTTAATGTAAACCGGGCCAGCCGGTGTCTGAGTCCAGAGGTGCCTGCAGAGCTGCGGGGCACAGATGCCCCAGCCTGACCCTTTGCAGCTTGACTGGGATTTCTTTAGGAATGGAGCCAATCCCCATGGATGTCCAGAGGTGATGTTACCTTGGCTTTCCCAGCCCTGCTTGGCTGTGCTTGGCTTGCTGAACCCACGGGAGACTTCGAAAGCTTCAGCAGCATCTTCAGAAAGAAGCGAGCCGCCCCTGCCAGCCCGCTCCCCCAGCTCGCAGCTCCAGGGCGCTCCGCACCATGCACCCCACATACCCCCAAGGTCAGTGCTGCTGCTTAGCTTCCCAAATCCATTCCTGCCTTCTATTTCTTTTCTACTTTGCCCCAGGCAGCCTGCAGGGCTGCCCAGCAAGCATGAGAGCTAATTCCTGGGAACCTCCCCTCCTCCGGCTCCAGCAGTTTCAGGGGCGCTGGGCAGCACAGGATGGTGCTGGGTGGGCAGCAGAGGTTGTGGATGAGCTGGTGGCCCTGCCGTCTGCAGGCATAAATCTCTGCTCTCTACTCACCGGGCTGTATCTGGACATTCATGCAGCCAGAGAGAGCCTCTGCTGCAGCAATGCAGGCTTTCACTCGGCTGGGGCTGGAAAGGTCTGCTCGGCTCAGGGCATCGCAGTGTTCCCTGCTGAGGGTGAGGTGGGTCTAAAAACAAAGCCAGAAGAGAACAGGTACCAGCACAGCCAGCTTCTCATCCCTCCTCATCCCACCCAGAAGGCTGCTGGCTTGGGATAGCCACGGGCTACCTTCAGCTGCCAGGCTGCACGCGTCCCTCGGGAGGACCGTGCTGCTCCGTCCCCACCAAAACCAAAGGTCTGTGCAGTAACAACTGCGGCATCGCCAGAGAAGCCCTGGCAAACCCCAGCATGAGTTTCCAAAGAGCCGGCACCTCTGGGACCACCACTGGCAGCAAAGGCGGGGGGGGAGGGGAAGAGAAAGAAAAAGCTGAGGAAACTGCAACTTGAGTCACTCAGATATGAAAAGGTCAAGGGCATAGAGGTCAGTGGGAGCAGTGGAAGTGAGGACGGGCTGTGTTGTACGTTATGTTAGTAAATAATTTGCTTTCCCATATTCCCAGAGCCTTTCCACTGGCCCTGCACCAGCATCTCTGTGGCTATGAGGTTACTGCAGGGAAAAGCTCCTGCCCCACGATGGCTGCTGGTGGGCACAAAGCCCAGCGCTGGTGGCAGGCATTGGCTTCACAGTTGCCTTCCAGGGTGGGGAAAAAACCAAAAAGAAGAAAGGAGAGGAAAGGAATGAGGAAACTCCCATCAGGGGGAAGCGGGAAGAGAAGCAACGGGTCCCTGCGCAAAGAGCCTCCCCAGGGCACAGGGAGCCCCCAGAAGGCTTTTCCCATGGTAGATACGTGGTTTGCCTCAGGACCCCCTCCAAGTTCCCAGCAGTTTCTCTCCATGCAAGGTTATCAGGGAGGATGGGAGCATGCTTTGACCGGGGGGTGGGTGTTGCACGCTGCGGTTCTAATTGCTCGCTAAGTGTTATGCTTGCGTATCCCTCGGTAATGAGGGATCAAAGTGAGCGTTACCTGCTAACGAGAGCTGGTTTCCCCCAGTACAAAGATGTAAACTGAAAGCTCTCAAGAGAAGTGAAGGAAGAAAGCAACTGCCCTCAGTGCCAGTGGCTTCCCGCAGCCCCACAGGCCAGGCATAGGGATGGTGGGAATTTGAAGGCACGAGGCTGAGAGGATCTCAGTGCTTTGGGTGCAAGGGTAAAAGCACGGCCCCAGCAGCCTCTGAGCATGCAAGAAGAAGGTCCCAGAGCTGCAGGTGAAAGGCAGACCACAGCATCCCAGACGAAAGGCTGCAGAAGGAAGGTCCTTGGCATTACCTCATTTGAAGCTCATCTTGCCCGTGAAAAGGACTTTCAGGGGCCCCTCTTACAGCCCTGGACCACCATGAGGGTACCACATGTCATGTCTGCTGCTGGTCTACCTGTAGTCCATCCCAGCTGTGTGGCCGTCCTTCTATGACCAAGACACCAAAGTCCCAAAGCCACAAGGCCAGAGAAGCTCTGTAGCCATTGCAGACAGATATTTGCTTTCAGAGTGTTTGAGGCTCACTGAAAGTTTTTTCTAAACAGACTCAACAGGCTGAAGATTTACATCTTTGCAAAGCCACGTACCGTGAGGAAGAGGATCTCATCCATCAGCCTTGTCTCGTTGGAAACAATGCGATCTAGCAAGGAGTTTTCCCGGTGGATGTGGTCCATCTGCTGCTTCACGCTTCCCAGTAGCTCATCGTAGATGTGCAAGGTCTCCTCCACTCTGGCCACCTCTGCCAGGGCCTCGTCGATGGAGCTGATCAGCTGTGTCACCTGCTTCTCAGAAGAGATAATGGCTCTAAGGTTGGCCTGTGAAACAGAGAAACAGGGGGCTTCAGCACCGTAGCAGGGGCTGGTCACAACCATCTCAGAGTCAAATATCCTGGCCTTCACCCTCCCAAGGCAAAGGAGTGACCCTGTCATTATAACGTGCAAGATGCTGTTGTGGTTGCAGCTGCATCGCTACCTGCACAAGGTCAACATCTTATCTTTGCACTTGGCTAAACTCTGTATCAGCAGCCACCTGCAAGTCCCAAGCGCCAGGGCAGAACAAACCCCTTCCCTGGGCAGGGTGTACGCTCAGAGGGCTTTGACCTGCCCTGGCAAAGAGGTTACTGCGGAGTTGCCAGGCAAATCCGACCATGAGCTGAATACAGTCTCTGTAGGTTTGGAGAGGCTACCAAGCCCTGCTGGCTTCTGCGCCCCACTTTTCCCCCTGTGCACTAGGCAAACCCCAAGTGGACACTGCGTGGAGTCTCAAACCCTCAATCCCCTCAACTGGTGAAGTCCCCTGAGGACCAGGGTGTCCATCCCACAATATTTGTAAGGAGACGTGCCAGCTTGGAAGCCCTGGCCATTTCTCTCCGGCTCTAACACATTTATGCAGACCATGGCCATGCCAAGTGCCTGTCGCAGCACGTCCAGCGCAGCTCTGGGCATTGCCACTGCTGCCAGGGTGTTACCCAGCTGAGCTGCTCTGGCAGTGGAATTAATAAACAGTTAAATCATGCATGAGACATGTACATAGATATGTCTCTAATATGGAAACTTAAGGCACAATTTGCCTAGGGAGGTCTCCAGCGTTTGTTTTGACGGGTGGTAGAGATATAACGGCGCGTTAATTGCTGCTGACAAGCTCCGCTAGAGATGAACTGCTTCCAAATGTTAATTGTATTGTTTTCAGGGCCTATGTACCACGCGGGATAGCAAAGAAAACAATCAATAGATACAGGCCTGGGAGGCACCAGGCTTCCAGACTGCTGTTTTTCTCGCCATTAATAAAGCTTTTAAAGAAGTATGTCTTTTTCTGATATTTCAATTATCCAATGTCTTTTTTTCTTAAATGAAGAGCAACAGAGGTATCTGCACCACCACCCCTCCCGCGGTGCGCCCTGCACTTGGCTCGCCAGTGGGAAATTATAGGAGGAAGAGAAGCAAAGTCTTGTCAACCCAAGAAAGTCTTGTCAACCCAAGGCAAGTCTTGTCAACCGAAGCAAAGTCTTGTCAACCCAAGGCAAGTCTTGGCAACCCAAGAAAGTCTTGTCAACCCAAGGCAAGTCTTGTCAACCGAAGCAAAGTCTTGTCAACCCAAGGCAAGTCTTGTCGACCCAAGCAAAGTCTTGTCGACCCAAGCAAAGTCTTGTCAACCCAAGGCAAGTCTTGGCAACCCAAGAAAGTCTTGTCAACCCAAGGCAAGTCTTGGCAGCCCAAGTCAGGTGGCTTGGACCTACCCTGTGCTCCCAATTAGGAATGTCTCTGGAAGCACAGTAGATGATGGGCGTCTGCAGTCCCTGAGTTAAGGACTTGCTCTGCTTCAAGCTCCACCTGTGTTGCTGTTGGGATAAAGACGAGCTGGCAGCTCCAGCTCTAGAGGTGGCACATGCAGGACAAGATGCTGGAGCAGTGTGGAGGTGCTCCTGAAACGTGTGAGAGCCACTCTGCAGCAGACACCTGAGCTGGGTGGCTTGGGTGTCTCTGGCAAAGTGTGGATTACGCTTTCCTGTGACAAATGTAGTGCCCTTTTGGGAAAGTATGGGAGAAAGGACTGTCGGGAATGGCTTCAGATGGAGGCGGATTCAGCAAGGACATGGAAAGGTCAGCAGAATTCTGTAGAAAACACAGGAAAGCATCTCTGTCGAAGGGTAGAGATGCAGCTGCCACACTGCAAAGCGATGCAGCTTTCCCGCGGGGAGCCCAGCGGTGGCAGGGAAGGCCGAGGTTTCACTTGCCAGCAGGCTCAGCAGTTGGATTTGAAGCGGGGCCTGCTGATGCACACAGATGCTCCTCTCCAAAAGCACCAACGATGCCACGCGAATGCTCCTTTTACCCAGAGCCCAACCAGCCCACGCAGGCCGGTGCCGGGGACCTGCGAGGGAGCAAACAGCCCCGCTCCCACACTGCTGCTTTCCAGCCGCATCCCAGGGACCCTGGCCCGTGGCCCAGAGCTTCACATTTTATTAAATGTTCCTAAATTACAGCCATAAACCTCCTGCAAGCCTGTCGCCACCGCGCCTTCGGATTGTCTTATTAGGGCTTAACAGACCCACGGGGGTTTGCCTAGAGCAAAGCATCGCCGGTGGCACTGGCGGGGGAACGGCGGGCAGGAAGGGCTCTCCGGAGAATCGCCGCTCGGGCGAGGGTAATAACTCTCCTGCCGGCGGCGGCACAAAGCCGCTGGGGGCTGCCTGCCTTTCAGCGGGTGCTGGGATCCTGCAAGGACGCAGGAATACCAATGTGGAAATCAGAGCTCGCGGCCTCCCGGGCGCCCTGGCCGCGCTTTCCTTCCCTCCAAAGCGGATCAGCGCTTCCGTGCCGGCGGTGCAGCCTTTTGCCATCCCCGGGAGAGACGGGGGGGCAGAAGGCGATTGGCATTGTAAGAGGGGGACAAGGTGTTATCACTGGGAGGTGGGGAAAAACATCTAAATAGATGCGTGCGCTAGTCCGACTTGCTAGTGTTAATAACACTTAATATCACAGATTAAGCCTTAGAAATAGAAACAGCTCATTAATTAATTCCTATTAGCAATAAGTGACATTTATTCATTAGAGGGCATTAAAGTAATGTATTCGACAGCACCTTCCATCTCAAAGAACTGAATAGAGAGTTATTAGTTACTCACAGGGTATTTTACAGCTGGGAAACAGGGTGGCCAAGCGCCCCTCGACTTGCCAAGAGCCAGCAGGAGCAGACCTGGGGAGTTTGGTCGTCCAGATTAACTCCTAAATTTCCGGGTGTAATAAGCCATGTCTAAATACAAACTGGGGATACAGCAAACACTGGAGCCAAAGGAGGTTGGATTTAGAGTTTGTGGTTTCTCATATGTTTTAGGATATTTCCTTCGGTTTATTTTTTTCCCCTTTGTTCTTCAGTTGCCTGCCCATAAAATCCTAGCGGCGGGTATATTGGCGTAAGATAAATGCTGGAAGCAGCGATCTCATTATTTTGCTCCAGCACTCAAAGGAACACATTATCCTCCGCAGCAATGCAATAAAATACGGCAACTCTAATAAAGTAAATAAAGCTCACCAGTCTGGAGATGATGTGTGCCGCCCTCCTTGGCCCTTTCTGCTACAGTTTATCTTTTACTTTTTATCTCCTTCCAGCTCAGTTTCATTATTTTGTCTTTCCTCTCTCCCTTGCTGCTGCTTTTCCTTCCGCAGGGATCACTGCTGGCCCTTCCCTTTTCCTCCAGGCATCCCTGCCCTGCAGACCACCGTTTCCGCTCCTCATCACCCCCCACTTTTTACACACACATCCATCCTCTCCCTCCCTACTCAGCAGCCCTTATCCTTCCTACCCAGCTTTTCCCTGCTCTCCCTTCCTGAGGTAGCCAATGTGCATGTGCCCAAATTACAAAAAAAAAAAGCCAAACCCCTGAAATAACAGGGATTTTTGAGGTATCTGTGCCCTCACAGCAGTGTGGCAGGACCCATCCTGCCTGTGGATGGCCGTGCT